TATATATATATATATATATATGTGTGTGTGTGTGTATGAATTTAAACAATTGAAAATGTGGAGGAACAATAGCATAGAACTTCTACATAAGAATAGTCTACGATAGAACGTCATCTTTCAACATGATTTTGGAACTCATCTTCGAGCCTTTTGTTGTCCTACTCTCATATAAATATGATTATTATTGGTCAATCATAAAGAAATATGTAAAAATAAACTAGTATTTAAAAAAATAATCATATAACATGTAAGAAAGTAAAGGCACTATACTACCAATACTAATATATAAACCACAAAACACCACCTCATAACTATATATATATATATATAAACATGAATATCATTTTGATCATTGCAATATACTTGTAGTAGTTTTTTTTCTCTTCTAAATTATACTTATTTTGTGACACAATTTAAAAATAATTTTTATTTAATTCAATGCATGAAATTTATAATATTAGATTCACTCATAATATGATAATTGGATAAATTTAGATTTTAAAATTAAATATAATATTTTTTTTAAGATGGCTTGAAATGATCTTTTAAGTTTTTCTAATCCAATTTAACATCTTATTTTTTTAATAATCATATATTAATATAAAATATTTTATTTAATAAATAATATTTTATATAACTTGTTATCGTATCTATAATGATATTATTTATTTTAAAATATATATATTATTAAATATACTTTAATTTATTTTCAAATATATTTTATTTAATTCAATTATACATGATATTAATAATGTTATATTGAAATCAAGACAGATCAAGTCAAAATAAAATTCAGTAAAACATTTGGAGCTGATGAAAAGATAAATAAAGCGGGATCCGGAGGCATATGCTGTGCATTGATGAATATTCACTCAATCAGATCCAGGGAAGTTAAGTGAATGCAGCTTTTTAATTTAACAATTATGGCGTACTGTGTAAATTTTTTACTTTAAGTAAGTTTACTCAGTACAACTTGTTGACCTAGGGTTCAACTCAAGTCTCGTGAGACGTGAGGCAGAGGCATATACCCATTGGATGATTGATGAATATTCCATCAAAATCACATTGTGAATGTGAGGCTTAGCTGTTAGATTAAAATCATAAAAAGGATATCATAAACTATGAAAAACAGACAAAAGCATCTGACTCTCACTAACCAAACAACGCCCCATTCCAGACCAACTTCGGTGTCACCACCGTCTCTTCCCGATACTATTCATATAATTATGTGTTATAAAGTTAATAATTAAAAATTAGTTTATACTTTTTAAATTAATTTATAATTATGCTTAAAACTACACTCATATAATCCTATTGTTTAGCTGAATAATATATACATTTACGTGTAAAAAAACTATATTAATAATTTAATTATTAATTACTATTTATGATAAGTGTATTTATTTTAATAATCATCTTATTATTCATGATATTTATGCAAAAAAATTTCAAGTCAGTACTTGTTATTATTGAAATTTTTTTTTTACTAAATAAATAAATAATATATAAGTGAAAAATAACAATCATTTTATAAGTTAGATTTATAAAATAGAATTAACTTCAAATTCATATTCTAAGATGATAATAAAATTATCCTAGATCTATTAAAAGAGTCACTCACTATTTATACACGTATCAAATCCAATTAATAGTGCTTGGTATGAAGAGTGTTTTCAAAAAATATTTAAGTCTTGCCTATCTTAAATCTTTAAAAGAGTGATCCATCATTTAATCATGCATCAAGCCCATTAAAGTTAAATGTGAAATAGTATATTAAAAAACTCAAATTTCACATCGATTAAAAATAAGACAAACAAATAATATATAAGTGAGACTTACAAACTAATTTCTTAAGATTGAGTTATGTTCAAATTCACATTCTAAGTTTTTTGTTAGCATGCAAAACTAAGTCACTTATGAGATTAGTCCACTGACTACCCTTCAAATACTACAACACTCCAATATTAAGTTAGAGACTAAGTCTCCGACTCGATACTTAATTCAATTAGTCATTTAGCTAGGATATGTTTTGACTACCTCCATATCAAACCACATAGATGCTAAAAGGAAAGAACAACTTTGAAATAACATAGTTCACCTCTAGTATCTATGTATCTTAATTAAAACATTTATCTCAACCACATGTCCACAACTTTACAACTTAACAGTAATACAACATATAACGTACATTTTAACATTATCAA